TTCATGGCCGTGGGTTATATGCGTTTAACATAGTCAATATTTTTTTTAAAGTTATTTGTGAGAGGAAATCATTTTTATAGCGGAACGTAAAGTTACAGTATAATGCTTGCTTTCTTTCTTTCTTGGCGGTCTCTCTTATAATTAAAGAAAGAATCAATATGTAATCGGTATTAAAATGGATTGTTCTGTCGTTTTAAATTTTACAGAATTTGGTCAAAAAGTAAAAACGACGTTGCAAAACGATACTTAAGAAAACACCGTGAGTAATGTCAAGGCAGTCTGTACACAATTGAGGTTGCTCATGAAAGTAAACTAAAATCTTCTACAAGCGGGGCAAATACCCATAAGCATTGGAAACATACATTCCAAATGCATACTAGTAACTAATCTGGTCTTAGAATCACGTTCTTTTGTATAAGTGTTGTTATTGGCTTTGAACTAGCTTTCAGTAACTGAGAGAATTAACAGATTTGTGTTTCTCAAGTGTTTCTGTAGTTGCTTTTGTGATGAGCAAAGCCCTTTTCAAATTACTTTTTTATTTGTTTTCTTATGTTCGGATTTTATACCACTGTCCGAGTTTTGGAGGGTCAGACGCCGTAAATGTGTTTATCCCTGATGCATTCAGTATGTGTGTGTGTTCCAAGTCAGAAGCCTGTAATACAGTAGTGGTAGTTTGTTGGTTGATATTATACCTGCTTTTTGTTTCCTGACTTAGAACAGGTGCAAACAAATGCAGTCGGTTTAAGCGTTTAAACAGGCATCAGCCTTCACACTAATCTGAAATAGTTGTGTAACTTTACAACATAGAAAGACACGCTATAAAATATCAATTGAAACGGCTTAGCTCAATCAAAAAGACATATTAACAAAAATAATAAAAGATACACTGACGAAGAAATGTGATCTATGCCACAATATTAATTAAAAAAAGGGAAATGTAAAACAATGTCAAAAAGATAACCATAACCTTCATTTCCTACTTTATGTTCATTCAACAGTCAATGCCCTATGTTAAAGAAATTATAAATTTTCCACGCGTAACGCGTTGAAGGGGACAAGGAAATATCGGGCGTCCGTCCGTCCGTCTGTTTGTCCGTCTGTCCGTCCGTCCGGTCTTGTTAGCGCTCTTACGGTTCAACTCTTGCCAGATTTCTATAAAACTTATACTTTAAGTTAATATCAGCAGTATCTTGGACAAGTTCTTAATTGGTGGACGATCGACTTATTTTAAAAGAGTTATGTGCCTTGAAAATATTAAATTTTTAGAAAATGGCCTTGTAAGCGCTATCACGGGTACAATTCTTGTGAGATTTTTATAAAACTTATAACAATAACTATAGGTTAATATCAATAATATCTCGGACAAGTTCTATAATGATGGACGATCGACTTTTTTTAAAAGAGTTATGCCTCAGGGAAATAATAAGTGCAACGCGGGGGACATTGTAACTCTGTTCTTTTATTCAAGAATTAAAATATTAAAAAATATTCAACTCGTCCACGAACAGCACTGAAAATAAATTTATTCGCAGTCGCATTTGTTGTTCGGTCACACGTTGATTTTTTACCTATATTCAAATTCTTGGATTAGTTATCACATACATATTTATATGCAACGAGAATTAACTGTAGTTGCACAATTTGAATATCATGCATTTGTACGTTAATTCAATTATATCTCAATAAAAAAGCGTCAGATGTGAATTGAAGCTGATATCTTGCATTACATTTTAAAAATTTTTGATAACATTTAGATATTCAATATTGTAAAAATGTTAATTTTATTTTCAAAAATAGGTTTAGAACCAGTAATTCTGGAAACGTAGAACAAATTTGTGTTTTTAAGTTCCTTCGCCTTTGTCAATAAGGTATATATTTTGAAAGTTTTGGTATCAAATGAAAACTTATGGACTAAAGATTACATGGTAAAATCCTTGTACAAATGTTACTTTTAATGATAAAAGATGGAAGAAATTGTGATAGGAGGACACATTTAAGCTGTTGCTCAGATCAGAAGTACCTGTTTTGTAGTACAAAACTTCCGGGCACCAATTTACTTTAATGTGCTATTTAATGTTTGCTAAGTTTTCTGCACAAGTTAGGACGAACAATTGTGCTGAAATGAAATGGATGTCACTTTATTTTAACTCAAGAGAAAGTAGCTATGAATGTTTGAAGTTGCAGTGTTTACCATAGAAAACAATAGGGCTATGCATTTGTATTGTTATTCCTGTTTGCTTTGCACCACGATGCAAAGCTATATGTTTTATGTTTAGAAGATATACACGCCATCTTGAAATAATCATTTAAAAAGAGTAAGTTTTGCACCATCTTACGGTTTTCATTTATCATAAGTCTTTTGCTATGCCCGTGTCTGTTGTGACGTGTTTGATTTCAATCTATATATAACTGTTAGATTATTAAGTCATGGATTTCGTTACCATAAAAATCTTAAAACCTTTAATAAATTCTTCTATAAATATAAAGATTTGGTTTTGAAGTTCGGTTGAATATGTAAAAAAAACTTATTTCAAAGGGGATAGCACATCCTAATTTTCACGGCGATGTTGATTCCCGAGCTCGGAATATTAGAAACGATCCGGATAAACTTATCGATCCTTTGAATTTATTCCTCAAGGTTATCAAGTCAACACTGCAATTAGTTCTTCAAAAATTGTTCTATTGGTATTATGGTATAAAGATTGATTTTGTTATCAGTAAATTAATATAATATTAAACATTTTTTATATACATATGCACATTCATGGCTCTACAATATGTCGATACCTGTATCTTGTGAATCCACAAGGTAATGCTTTTCTCTGACTGTTTATGACGTCTTTACACTATTAATATAAAATCCGTTGGATGTTTGATGTGTACTGATGGCTATTTTAGTCTTTAACGCATGATTTTGTTAATTAGTTGTTATTGGATTTGAACAAGCTGTCAGTAACTGTGAGTACTCTCAGATCTGTACTTAGTGTTTGTTTGTTGTGGGGTTGTATAAGTACCCTGCCACATCCACTCTGTGTTTTGTAATTTAGATTTCTATTTGTATCCATCTGATGAGTTAAGATATTTTTATTGTTTGTTCTTATGTTGTACTCTTCCAGGTTAGACGAGGGTTGGCGCCTTCAAACGAGTTTATCCCGCCATATTCTGTATGTGCCTGTCCCAAATCAAGAGCCTGTTCTTCATTTGTTTTCGTTTGCTGCTGTGTTACATATTTATTTTTCGTTCATTATTTTGTACATTAATTGGGCCGTTAGTTTACTCGTTTGGATTGTTTTACATTTCTCATATCAGGGCTTTTTATAGCTGACTATGCGATATGGACTTTTCTCATTGTTGAAGGCCGTACGGTGACCTATAGTCGTTATTTTCTGTGTCATTTGGTTTCTCGTGGACAGTTGTATCATTTGGCAATCATATCACATCTTCTAATTTTTGTAACTAAGTTTTCTTCATAAATTTCTTCAACACTTTGACCCAAAATATCTTTTTATGTTCTTGTTTCTTCTGCATCTATATTGTATCTAAACGATTCGTCGTCATTCCTTTACGCGACCTACTGCAAATCAGTGTTCTGGCAAGGTGTGTTATCTCCTTTTGTGTTCAAAGAAATTTAAGTCCTAATTTTGTACAATTGAATCCGAGTTACTGACAAATATGTTATTCTTTGTATATTGAATGCATTGAATAACACCATGTAGACAAATGCATTTGTCTCCGAAAAAGTTGTCTTTATTAGGGTTTATAGGTAGGAAAGTCTGAAATATGACCGTAGATTAACATTAAGGATGTTCGCTACTCTGTTTCAAAATAACAAGCTTTTTAAAAGACTGTTCTAAAATGATAGTATATAAATAAAGTAAACCCCCCCCTCCCCCCCAAAAAAAATAAAAAAAATGAAGGGTCCGTACGCTTGTTTATGAGATATAAGCCATTGAAAATTTGGTGGGAAATAGTTCTCTCTAGATTTTTCACCAAATTTAACAATGGCATCTATTTTCTTTGAAAAACAATGAAAAAATAACAAGGAATTATAGGATTTTCAAACATAGCATTTTTAACTTTATGTAACAAAGTTATGAAAAGAAAAGTAGGGGATGGCAAGGATTTTTTGTTATAAAGACAGTACATGGATAAAAACCAGAGGATTCTGAATATCTGACAAAAAATTCAAAAACAACAAGAGTGAACATCCTTATATAACTAAACATCGTCTAGTGAAGAGATATATAAAGGTTTATTCAAAATAGTCTTAGTAGGTAATTTTCTCATCTTCCGAATGACCGATAATAACGAATTATCTCAACACAGTTTGGTCACTTGTAACTTTGCTAATTCTTTAATATATACATTGATGGAAAAACATAGTGATTGATTAATGAGGGTAATACCATATCTCCTTGGAAATGATGCTGTGTGTTGCAGTACACTATCTCATACTTGCATCTTTCGTTTTGAATTACTAGTTAATTAAGAATCCAGAAAATGCTGGATATCCTTCCCCATAAATGATCTGAGCATTTTAATAATCCTCCCATGTGACCTACAAGTCTTGAATCTCCCTCCTTGCAAGAAATGAATATGTTAAATGCTGCTGACAGGCTTGGCAGGAACTCAATATATAAAATATATAAAAGTTATATGTAGTCTATGTTTCAGAAAATTAAAATCTTACCTGGATTTTGATGTGCATTTTTTTCTAGTTTGAAGAAGATAGCAAAATTAAACAAAATTTCATTTGAAACGGTCCACTCAGTTACACAGTTTAAATCACCTATTATTTGCAGATGTCTACTGTCCATCTATTCTCCAATTAAATAAATACTACTCACAACATGTATTATATGAGGGAAACTTCTCAAACCTCTTTCCCAACTTAGTTTGTTTTTGCACCTTCTGCAGGAATAAAAAATAATGAATAGCAAAATCTAGAAAAGTTTATAATTTTCTGAAACATAAAATGCATTTAAGAATTGAATGCTTCTTTTTGTAAAATTCATTGGGGTGTAAAAGGTTGACCGAAGAAAATTTTGTATGAAGCGCGGAAGCGCTTTCCAGCAGGCATTTCAACGTTGATCTATAACGTTGAAAAGACGTTGAATTAACTGTTGGTTTTGAAATTTAGAACAACATTGAATATCTGACGTTGAAAAAACGTAATATTTTCAACAGTGTATCGATGTTGATTTTTGGTTGAATATAGTTTGAAACTTAACATTGAAACAACATTGTTTTAAGTTGAAATAAGCAATTCATTGCTTCTTGTTGGTTCATTTGTCACATTTGTTTGTCGTGATAAATATAGGCGGTTGGTTTTTCTCGTTTGAATTGTTTAAAACAAATTGTGTCCGGGTCTTCTATCGCGGACTATACTTTGTGGTGTTTGCTTATTGTTGAAGGCCGTTTAGTGACCTCCACATCAACGGACTCTGGTAGATATTTATCTCATTGGCAATCATACCACATCTCCTGATATCTATAATACTTAGTAACCACAAAAAATATTGAAGCCGTATGACTCAACAGAGGACATCAGCAAGATTTGATCTTTAACAAAAAACCAGTACAACAGATGTCAAGTTATTACAAAAGCTCGTATAGCCAATGGTGATCTGGTAAATGAATACAAATAATCTCTTAATTCGTTTTTAATATCTTCATGAAAATGAATTGTAGTCTCTAAACTCCTCTAACCATTTTTTGTGCATATTCCTTCTTTAACTCATCTTCTGTTATGTTTGTGTCTTCCTGAAGAAAAAAAACAATCGCATATAGTATTGTGTAAACATAAGTTAACAATTACGTAGAACGTCAAAGGCAGGGAGTACAATGTTATATAAAGCCGGTTTTTTTTTTTATTAATCTACTGGTTTACATAAATGCGGATCCGTTTTTACGATTTTTTGCTACTGTACATGTAGCAATGCCACCGATCTCGAGCACCAGGATCTTTTTTACAAATGCCACCTATTCCGAGCACAAGGATCTGTTGTCACAATGCCACCCATCTCGAGCACCAGGATCTATTGTAACAATGCCGCCTATTACGAGCACCAGGATTTATTGTAACAATGCAACCCATCTCGAGCACCAGGATCTATTGTAATAATGCCACCCATTTTGAGCACCATGATCTATTGTAACAATTCCACCCATTTCGAGCACCAGGATCTATTAATAAAATGCCACTTATCTCGAGCAACAGGAAATTTTGTACAAATGCCACCTATTACGAGCACCAGGATATATTAATAAAATGTCCCCATCTCGAGCACCAGGATCTATTGTAACAATGACACCCGTCTTATTGATTGCAGTTTATGTTTTAAATTTGATATGCATAAAAAATATCTATACAAATCAAATCAAATGATTTTATTCCTAACTAAAGGGCCCATATAAAGCATATAAATCAACACAAATCACAAAGTTCAAACATTATTTACACCAAACAACACACGCACACTGACATGACACATGCAATCTAACATACATACTGATTATTGATAATTAAAAATGTTAAAAAAAAATTTAAAATGTATACCTCGACATCTTTTACCTTTATCCTCAAATCTTTCCTTTTCATTTTTTCTCATGATCAAATTTTCCTAAAACTCTGTCCCTAATACCTGTACAAAAAATAAGAATAACATCGATCATCATCGCCATGCAATATTTCAAATTTGTAAAATTCGATTGAAGAATAAAAAGAAATCATTAAAAATTTCAGAGCATAGTTAACAATGATAGTGTGATTATGTATGACGGATTAAAATTTTGATAGAAAAGGGGGAGTTGATAATCTCACTTTGCAAAGGTTCCTTTTCAGTAACAAATCAGCAGTAAATAACTAAATAAACTGTATGTAAGCTGAGTATACTGTTCCCAGATTAAAGTACATATTTATATAGAGGTGTAGTCATATTGCAACGTATAACAAAAAAGACGATGGACAAACTGAAGTCAGTTATGATATCTCTACAACATGCAATATGGCGAGATTTTCAAAACATTTCACGTTTGTGCATTACATAATCTTCCAATGTTAACATCACTCAAGTATTAAAAGACAATCAACAACAGCAACGGATAATAATTAACATGATTAAAAGAAACACTTATTTTTCTTAAATATTGTTCAGGAAAATTGTACAATCTCCTGTGATTGTATCACACTTGATGATCGCTGTCGCGTTTGAAAAAGGCGGTCACACGTGTGCGGTCATACATTTGTCAGCATCATGTCAAGTGATAATTTTAGCAATAGATTATTGGGAGTGCTAATCCTCGTGTATCAGCTGTGTAGATGCCGCACTTTCACATCCTGTGATTTATCTATGTTTAAAATATTTCCGGATAATAACATATTAGTTAGTAGTATATTTCGATGAATGAATATATATATTTTTGTATACTTTTTACGATTTTGATAAACGTCCTGGTTAGACGTCGTTTGGAGCTTATATTTCTTTTAAAAATTCCTGATTTTACTAGATAGTGTACAAAATAAATTAAAAGGCGACATTGATTACAATTTTCGATAGCAAAATCCTTATTTATGAACTTTTGTTGATGCAACAACAAACGATGTACAACCATAATTATTCCTCTTTAACATCGATGGCTAATATTTTCGTTAACCTATGCATACAATCTGTTTTCTCGACGAACCTTCATCGTCGACATGTCAACCAACATTAACCGTTGAAACAACATATTTACTTCAACCTAATTTCAACATTAAAAATGCAACTAAAATTCAACATTTAAAAAAACAACTAAATTTCTGCAACATAATTTCGACGTTGCTATTACAACGTTGAAACAACGTTGAAGCAACGTCTGGGAAAAATATCAACCACATTTCAACGTTGAAATGACTTTGTGTGCCGGGTGGGTTCATTCTAAAATGTGTGCACGGTCAAAGCTTTTACAACCCTATGAAACTACTAAAAGAATAATTCAACATTATAATAGATATTACATTTTTTCGCTATGACCATGAAAAAATGATTACTATCATTTTTATTTACCTGTGCACTTTATCGTGGAAATGTGTTTCATCATGAATGTTACAATCATTTTGAAATGAATGTTAATACCAGAATGACGCGAGATTGCTATTTGCCAATCAAAATAACGTATTATAATGAAACATACATCTAATGTTATTATTTAAAATTCAATCAACTAGTTCCTGCCATGCCTTTAAACTTTTCCAGGTGCACAGGTTTGTCTTTACTCAGAGTAAAATGTGTGGTGTAAACACGGCCATATTAGTCAAAACGTTATGATGAACCTTAAATAAGTAGATGATACTGACATACATAACACTTCATTTCGCAAGACATGAAGAAGATCCCGTAAAACGCTTGATAGTACCGAAAAGGCAAAATAAATAAAAATTTGAGACACATCAAACCGTTAGAACAAAATAGGAGGTCACAACCAATGAGGTTATTTATTGATTAAAACATTGCGCTTGAAGGGTAAAACAGGTTAGCACAGAAGCAGTGGAGTACCTGTTATAACCCCTGTAAGTCTTAAACAAGGATAACTTAATAATGGAACCATCTCCACACCAAGAATAACTTAATAAAGGAACCATCTCCACACGAAGGATAACTTAATAATGGAACCGTCTCCACACGAAGGATAACTTGATAATGGAACCATCTCCACAAGAAGGATAACTTAATAATGGAACCGTCTCCACACGAAGGATAACCTAATAATGAAACCATTTCCACACGAAGGATAACTAAATAATGGAATCATCTCCACTGAAGCACTGGTTACTGGTCACTCTATCGTTGATTAGGTAATCGTTCTCTTTTTGCCATTATACATTCTGATAAGTTTATGAATATGAATGTTTTCTTAACACTAATCGGCAAATATATTGTTCATTTTGGGAACTACAATATATTTTACAATAACTCATAAAATATGTTGTTAAAATGGATGCCCACTACGTATAAAAAGGTATTATTTAGATAATCTTTACCAGTCGGCGCGGGACGTTTGCGCTTTTTCATAGGACATTTGCGCTTTTTATGGACGTTTGCGCTTCAATTATAGAACATTTGCGCTTTAAAAAATGTCATTTGCCCATACTAGTATCATGATATAGCTGCAATATACTCACGACTGTGTTTATTCACCTGTTTTAATCTTATTTTGTTCTTCACGTAACGCATTTACGTCTGCTCTTATTTGATTTATTTCTTTCTTGTGGGCATTGTCTTTTTCTATCATTTCTTTACGAAGTATATTAATTTGCTCTATCGTCGTATTCAATTCTACTTTCACTTGCTTAAGTTCATTTCTTGTCGTATCTAGTTCTACTTTCACCTGTTTAAGTTCATTTCTCGTCGTATCTAATTCTACCTTTACTTGTTTAAGTTCATTTCTCGTCGATTCCAGTTCTACTTTCACTTGTGTAAGTTCATTTTTCGTCGATTCCAATTCTACTTTCACTTGTGTAAGTTCATTTCTCGTCGATTCCAATTCTACTTTCACTTGTTTAAGTTCTTTTTTAGTCGATTCCAATTCTACTTGCGCTTGTTTAAGTTCCTTGTTCGTCGATTCAAATTCTACTTTCACTTGTTTAAGTTCGTTTTTCGTCGATTTCAATTCTACTTTCACTTGTACAAGTGCCTTGTTGTTCGATTCCAATTCTTTCTTCACTTTCTTTATTTCATTTCCATGTTAAAGTAACTCGTCTTTTATTTTTGACTATATTTTGTTCCACTTTATGTACATATAATGCACCAAGCAAAACAATTACAGACAGTAGCAAAACAACTACATGATTCCCCATTGCTGTTATGTTTCAAAACATACAATGTCCTTATTAGTTACCTTCACGGGTGACTGATACATTTATATATTGCTTGAACAAAAGAGTTTAAAGTCCACGAGGGTCTGGCTTGTGGGATCTTCAGTTCTTTGTTCTTTAAATGTTAGCAATTTTTCTCTTTTCTTTATTATTTCCCATTGTTCTTCATTTTTTATGTTTAAACATCCTATTATTCTCTATCCTTTATTTTCATTGTCTTATTTTTCTATATTCTGCAATTTTTTATCCATTATTCTTTATTCTGTAAACTGCATCTACACCTTTTCGTGGTATGGATAATATATCTGAAGTATGCAGTGATTTTTTCTTTAAATTTTGTGTGAAGGTATTTCACATGTGTCATGATGTTGGGAACAAAACATGAATAAAAAACATTTGGGGTCACCGACTTTGTAATGACACTATGGCAACCTCAGTTTCGTGATTTGCCAAAAATAAACAATATTTGGTTGTTATTTAAAAATTCAAATATTCTAATAATATTGAACCTACAAGTATAATTCTTTTTTACGCTAAACAAAAAATATCTGTCAATTTAAGATTCTACAATTTAAGATTTTGGGTGTTTTGATCCTTAAAAATATGATTTATCTCATGCCTGCAAAATATGATACACAGGAGTGAAAACATGTCCAGTATTAAACAATAGCTATCATTGATTTCCTCATGAAAATTTGAGAAGGTACGTGCATTGTGTACTCATTCAAATAAATTCTAAAACATTATTTGTCACCGACCTTTTAAAAAAGTTATTAGCAGTTCTCATGGTTTTTCTTCTCATTGGTTTTTAAGAAAAGAGTTTTCTCACAATTATTTTATGTGCAAAATACCGACTTCACAAATGTGTTGAGTTTAAACAAATTTGGAACACTCCTAAATGCATTACGTATAGACTTTTCAAGGAAAATTTGGAATTTGAAAATTATTTCAATATCATCAATGACCTAGATATTATTTATACACTTTGTAAATTCATGACTTCGAATCATACAATGCTAATAGAAAAGGGGAGATGGTATAATATTGACAGAAGTGAAAGAACTTGTATATGCAATAATGGAGATATCGGAGACGATTATTACTTTATCTTTGTTTGCCTGACTGTAGAGGATGAAAGCATAATGTTTATACCACATGCACTAATACTTAGACATAAACATGATAAATTACATGCTTTACAATTTCTAACAATATACATCGACGTAATTATGTAAGCAAAAAAGGCTGGTAATCTTTGCACGTTAGGTTACAAATAAAATCTTTTCGCGTTAGGTAATAAATAACAGAAACGGCAGTGTCAAATATTACATTTGTAGTTTGAGTGACTATATAGCGGAGACGAAAACATGCCTAAATTGTACTTGACCGACATACCAAGCTTGTTCATTCTTGTTCGAGCTTTAAAGGCAAAACCAGCGAAACATATAATTATAAAACAGAGTCAGTCAGTTCTTACTTTTATTTCTGAGAGCAGCGTGTTAAGCGTGAAGAATGTGACTATCATTTTTGATTCAAAACAGTTTGAAGGAATAGCATTATCTCCAAATTGAGAGAGACCAGATGTGTCGATGATGTTGATTGATTGTTGTTAAACGTCTAGCAACAAATTAAATGCATATTTAGGACGAGAAGACGTTGAATAAAAAACCCGGCTTTGTAATAGACCGACACGCCACCGGATGTGACGACACTGTAAGTATGTCCTGTATTACCGGTCCTACCAATCAGGACTCAGTAAAATCTGTTACGATGTGTACTGAATATTATCGGTAAACTTACAGACCAAGTCTTGGATTAAACCCATGACCTATTAGAATTGAGTAATACCACCAAATTTTATAAATCCGGCTCAGTTTATCGGTCTATTAATAGGTGGATACTTAGAGTTATAGCGCTGTTTGTAAGAAAACAAAGTTCGATATAATTGATAGTCAGGCAGATGACCCGGGTCGTGATAACCCACATGCAAACAAAATGTTTTTTTCGGAGGATACCCCTAGCAGACTACCTCCTTCTGCGCTCACCAATTGATATATTTAGCGTTAGAAATAAAGTTAAATATTTTTCAGCTATACATGCCCCTGGTGGCCTATGGATTATCATTTATAATTGCCAAAGGTCTATAATAATTGAGGATAATTTTTCCTTATTGAATAGTTCTATTGGTATATTTTATATTCAGTGATTTTGTAGAAATCTACGTATTGGTTTAAATTTATTATATCAAAAAACGAAATATAGAGTCTTATTGACTAATCACATACAATGTACTTAAAACAGTTAAACGTATATCAGAGTTCTCACACAACACAAAATAGAAAACCAAAGACTGAGCAACACGAACCCCAACAAAAACTGGGGGCAATCTCATGTGCTCCGGAAAGGGAAAACAGATCCTTAATTGATTTCGATTTGTTGTTGAATCCCTTGTGCAGTTGGGTAAATCGAATGTTCCCTAGTTTTGCCGTTTAAACTAAGATTCCGATTTTGTCTATTTTGTAAATATTTGTTTTATACAATTGTCTGAAAAATCTAAAAAAGAAGAGGTATTATAGTAAACAATCAAACGACATGTACTTTTTGTAAAACAAATTTAAAAAAAAACACACATTCAAGTTACCACCCGGAGATCATTTGTTACAGTGGGAAAACGGAGGAAATTAGACAAAGGGACAACACAACGAATATACGATACAATTCTGCAATTTTTCTATATACAGTTGGTTGACCCTTTATCTTGATAAATTGCATATCGCAAACTATTGAAAAGACAACGTGTATACAAATAATACTATATGAATGGAGTTTAGATATTTGTTTACAAATAATAATTTGAATTCTATTGGCGTTCTTTTATGTCTGGACATGTCTGCTTTGACTCGACCTTTGACTCGAACTAGAATCATAATTCGACCTTTGACTTGAACTTGGATCATAAAACAACCTTTAACTCGAACTTAAGTCTGTTAGGTAAAAGTCAGCAAGAAGACATGTCGCCGTACATGGACACATTATTCTGACTGCGAGTGATGAAGGTAAATCCAGAAAAGAGCTTCGGACGCATGAAATTTATAACGTGTTGTTTTCATTTTATAACGAGTTTTTGTAACGGATCAATTTCTATAAATGATGAGCATGATTGTTTTGTAAGAAATAGCATTTAATAACTGAATTTTTGAACTGAAAAAGAAGTATAATGTACATGTATGTGGACTTCTCATATGAATTGTTTTCGAAAACTGAATTGTTTACAGTAAACAACAAAATAAAAACATGAAACTATATGATTTATGGGTGTATTTAAGTTTTTTTTTAACAAATATAAAGAAATAATTCGGTGCTAGGTACACTGAATTAAAGTTATATTGGCAAGGGAACTATTAAAGGTTAGGTTGTAAATCATTTGGAGCTACTTAAAATTGTGTGTAACGAAATGACTGTAACAAGTCTTAATTATGCCAAGAATTGGTCGGATTATCATTGGCCCAATGTTAATCGTATATTTTTTATTGTTTAAATTGGCCAGTCTATCTGGAAACTGATTAATTGAGAATCCAGATCTCAAGAATATCAAAACTGATTTTGTAAACTCTCTCTCTCTCTCTCTCTCTCTCTCTCTCTCTCTCTCTCTCTCTCTCTCTCTCTCTTTTAATAGATTTTTTTTTCTGATCTGTGATTTTTTCGTGGTTTTGTAATGTTTTATTGATGTTGACTGAAAAATAAGCATATGATACTGGCATACGTGACACTTTTTTTCTGTAGAACATGTAACAATCACTGGAAACTATCAACAGAACCTATTTCGGAAAGCCAAACAATTAAAACTTTTACAAAAATCATAACTGTGGACTAAAACAAGAGGTCACAGCCATCATGGCATGTAAGGTGAACTTTGCTGCCGGAGTTACAATCTTTCGTTTTATTATTGTTTCATTTATTGATTAAAACTTACACTTCATTTGAAGAGTGAAACCTATCAGTATCGAAACCGAAGACTACCTAGACTTAACGAGATACATGACCTGGCAACCGAACAATCCCTTATTAATCACTTGTTACTTCATCGTTGCTTCGGTAATTGCCTTCTCATACTTTTGCAAGTTGTGATTGCATGATTAATATTAATTGTTTTCTTAACGTCCATTGCAAATATTTTATGCATATTGTGGACAAAATCAAATTGTACTATTAACCAATAAATTTTGTTGTCAAAGAGGAGGTTCCTTAAGCAAGTGGGTGGCATGACAATCCACCAAATTGTGAACTATTTCCGAAATGAGTAACAATCCTTCAATTGAGTAATCATTTGATGGCGCCAAAAACATAATTCTCTTAACTGAGTCTTTTTACTTAAAATGGCACAAATTTATAGAAAATGATACAGCTTCTTCCAAAGAATCATATTTTTATTTTTAGTCTTAAAAGAAGTTAGTAGCCATGAAAATTGTCATCTTTTCGAGGTTTTCATAGCCTTGAAACTTCTTAGTAAATCATGTTAGGGCTATTCAGCTGTTAGAAAATTTGCTGCATTTTTCGTGAATATGTGCCATTTCAAGTACAAAATGTGTATTAAAAACAAACTCTAGAAAAGTATCCCTCAATCGAGTGATAGTTACTCATTTTGGAAACTTTTCCCCATTTGGAAGGTTGTCCCCAACTTGTTAAGTATACAAAAGTTATGATTTAAAATATATATAGCTACAGTGCATTCTCGACTGTGTTTGTTTACCTTTTTTAATTTCATTTGATGTGTTTTCGTAACGGTTATCTGTTTCTTTCAGTAACGCAATCACGTCTTCTTTATTTTTATCTATTTCTTTCCTGCGGGCATTGTCATTTTCTTTCATTTCTTTACTATGTACATTAATTTGCCCATTCATCGATTTCAGATCTTCTTTCATTTTCTTCGTTTCATTTCTATGAAGAATTTCTGTATTAACAAACTCATATTTAAACTTCATCGCGTTTTCTTTTATTTGAGCTATTTCTTTCCTGCAGGCATTGTCTCTTTCTA